ACGGAGCCAGAACTTTCTGTGAATCAATCGGCCTTTTAATTTGGGTCAGTCATGGAGCGTTATCTTTATCTTTTGAGACATATGTGGAAATGAATATTGAGAGTAAATTTTCTAGTAAGTGCTCTGCTGGCATTTATCTTTCTCCCTGATTGTTTCTTGGGTCGTCATGTGCAAACATAAGTAAGAAAACCAGTGCTAACAGGTGTCAGTCAGATCATGATGATTTGTATGTGCGGATGCTAGGGCTGGGCGATAAACTGAAAATTTACTGATACCGAAATTTACAACAATAACCAACATAATTTTGCCCATGTCAATATATTCGGTTCCAACTACTACAACATGTCGCCCCCTCTACTCCAAAGGGGCTTTTTTATTGGATCAATAATAGGCAAGAACAGGAAGAGCAAATATTAATGACTGTGAAAGGTTTCAAACTTTGCTTCCCCCCAAAAAAAACAGGCTGCTTTGTTTTATTGCAGAAACTCTGTTTGATTTTTAACAGTTTTCAGCTCTTAAAGGTTAAACTATAAATCTGACCTCAAACTTTGCTTTGAAAACTAATCATGTCAGCTACAGTAGCTTCATCTGATCCTTAATTTAGCTCGATTTCTCAGAGAGAAAACACTTGGTAAAGGTTATGTTTACATATGTATTTCCACACTAATATAGCTGTCAGGTGAACTTTTATTGAACATTTCTCTGCAGTTGCCTTTCTAGATTTTTTTCTCAGCTAAGAATGAAGGTGTTTCTGTCTTTGGGAGTAAATGCCACCCTTATACAGTCACCTCGCAGCACCTCTATGGTTATAAATCAAACATGACGCTCTTTAAATAGGGAAATTAATTATTTACACTTCAAGCCAAAATACCTTGAAGAGGAAGGAAAAATTTCTGACACATAATAAGTCATTTCCAGGCCTGAGAGGCTGGCCACTCTATTACCATAGTCTAGATTTATAATGCTCTCGTAGGAGTCCGGCCATAGATGGAGATACTTGTGTTTGGCGGTTTTGTGCACCTGCTCTGTTGCTCTTCCTCCAGAGGGAAGGAATGGCTGCTAGATCCAGTGACTGCAAGAATCCAGCCAATTTATGCTGTTACCACTTCCTTCAAGCAGAAAGTAACGCTTTTCTCCCCCCCAACATCAACATGCTGAATTGTTAAACAACATATCAGCTGCCAAGAAACTATGTTACCTAGCAACAATGGTGGAGCAGAACTGTAGGGAATTCATTGTGGCGGCTTTACCATTTGTACCGACGACGACGGAGATGACAGCGATTCATACCAGCAGTGGAAAGAAACAGACGTTTCTCTGATTAAACCCTGACGCTCAAAATAGCATCATTGCTTGTGCAGTTGTTAACAGTACACGCCATAGTGGGAGTGGCAGCAGTGCACGGTTCTTGTTTGAGAGAACCATGAGGGAAGAAGTAGAAGGAGTGAGAAGAAGTAATAATTGGTGCCAGCAGCAAAAATGACAAAACTTGTTTTTTTCCCTGTTACTTTTACCTTTTTGCAATAACATGAAAAACATGTATAATCTGTAATGTCACCTGCTGGAGTAAGGTGTCAAAAGTCCAGCTATGGAGGATGTCATGCTGAAAATGCTGACCAAGCCTCCGTTTGCTTACACGTCATTGACAGCCAGATTAAATGCTAGACACCTGAACATGCAAACTGCACAGGAAGGATGAAATATTGCAGTAAAGATATAATCTGAGCCAGAGTCATGCCAACACAACAGATTGTCATACAATTATTAGGGGTGGGATTCACTAGTGGCCCCACGATACAATATTATCACGATACTTGAGCCACGATTCAATATATTGCGATTTAGAGTATTGTGATATAATATATTACGATTTTTACATTTTTTTCAACTGCTAAACTGATTTAGCATTTGTCTTTTCCTGATGTTTGTGTTATTGATGCAGTATTTTATTTTCATGTAGCACTTCTTGCAAACCACATATGTCGTGTCCATCTCATTTGTGCCCTGCTTGCATTCCTAATGTTGCCGTTTGTTGTACTAACCTTTTTCTGCTCTATGACGTCACCTCTGCCAACCTCACTGGACAAACAATTGATTTTATCTTTCCATTATCATAGAATTGAATTCATAGTCGCATTTCATTTGAAAAAAATCTATACTTTGTGGCTGAGACAATACGGTATATCACCAGACAAAATATCGCGATACTATGCTGTATTGTTTTTTTCTCCCACCCCTAACAATTATATATACTGCTGGTTGTTTTACATTACCATTTCACCCCTTATCTTTAGTTAAAACTTTGCTTATTTATTTTGAGTCCTGATATATTTTTGGACCAGTAATATGTTCTTATCAGAGAATAGAGCATGTGGGAAAACATATGTGCAGTACATTGAACAGTAATGAGAAGCAATAACGCATATACAGATATCTAATAGTACAGAGCTAATTTAGACGGGCTGCATGTTATATTCATGTCTGAGGTGGACAGACAGAGAGCAGAGAAGACAGAGTTAATAACATCACATATAGACTTCAATGTTTTCTATTTGTTCCAATCTGCAGCCTGACGACAGCGAGCTTCACGTCACAGAAAAAAGATTGATCTCAATAAAACGACTATATTTGTATCTGCACAGACCACAAAACAACTAAAATCCCCATTTTAAATGGAGTTCCCAGGAGTTTATTTGTTGTTGCCCTGGTATTAAAACACGAATCAAATATTGAATTTCTTACTAGTTTTGCATTGAAATTAGAACTTGATATGGTGACAACCCTGAAGCAATAATGTTGAAAACATTTCAATTATGACAAATGAAGTCATAATTGAAGTCCCAATTATTATGCTGATCAAATACAGTCATGTCAGGAGGCAGTTGTAACTTAACACAACTCAAACAGTATAATAAATAGATGTCTGAAAAGACAAAGAGGGAGGAAGGAGAGGGAAGAACATTCCCAGATTCAGCTGGAAGCTAAAACATACCGAGAAATAAACAAAGGCGACTCATAAAATCCGCTTTCTTTGGTCTCAGACGCAGAAAGGATTGACTGAAACATGAGAAAACATACAGACTTTGACATTTGCACTGCCAAAAAGTAGAATTAAGAAGAAATAATTCATGTAGAGTTCAAGGAAGTTTTCCAAAAATGGACCGTCATGTAAAAAAAACACACTTGAATCAACTAAAATCTCACTTTCCAGACCAGATGTCGTTGTTTATTCTTTTCCTTTTTCTGTGTGTATCTTCCCTAAACTTGACACAGGCTTAGCTGGGGATGAATTTCACATTTCACTCTGCAGAAATGAGGTTATTCATGTTACAAGTCATATGGCAGGGAGAGAGTGCGGAGAGAGATTAGACACATGAGTCAGTAGCTCAAAAAGATCAAGACGCTTGTTGACAGCAGTATCGACTGACTGAAGAAGATGAGTGCCTTTTCTAAAATTACATTTTCTTGGCAGGTTGAGGTGGCAGTCTGCAATATCTCACACAGCTCCATGCCCTCACGTACCACATACTTGTTGCTTTTGCATGAGACATTTAAGACGATTAATTCATAGTGAAAGTTTTCTGGCAATGATGATGACCATGTGACGAAAATAGCTGTCTTGAAGTTGGCTCAAGGCATCACATTGACACAATTCAGCCATGGTTTATCAGTAACTAATCTAGCCCGGCATGATAATCTTGGATTGTGCAGCAATTTGAAGTTTTTTTCTCCGTTCCCTAAGTTCCTTTAACTAAAAAGTAACACAAAAATATCATGCATGAGAGTAAGTACTCCAAAAACTAAAAAAACAAGCTCACTTCGTTTAAAACTTTTGGAAATGGGTAGAGAGACAGTCTAAAATTTGACATAGCAAAAATGCATCCTATCGTCCAAGAGCGAGATTGTTCTGGTAATTATTAGGCATCCTGATAGCCCTGGAGCTGACTGCAAACTGACAGCAACTCTGGTGAAAATTCAACCTTCGTTCTAAAATTAGTCAGAGGCGTCTGATTGGGGCTGAAATGGGGCCTTAATCAGAGTTGGGGGGTGTTATTACAGCTAATAATCCTTTATAAGGAATGGATCTGTCCTGTGGAAGACTTGTCTTTGAAAAAGACTTCATTATGAGATTAAATATGAACCAAAGAAAATTCATGTTGAAGTCTAATTTGCATAGCTGGAACCAATCGTTAGGCATTTAGACAGGAGGCACAAAGTCAGAGCAGAACTGCTTGGCACAGGAATTAAAAAAACATCTTTTAACTGAAAATGTTTTCTACTCCAAATCATACTATCCAACCATCAACCTCTGTGTGTTAGGGCTGGACGATATGGCCTCAAATCAATATCATGCTGCATTGAGCAGTTCACTTTGATGACGACAAATGGACGATAATTACTCCACAAGCTGCTCACCCCCTCCCACATTCACTTTGTCTACTTCAGCGTCTACAACTTTTAAACCATCCTCCATCTCCTCACCTGTCTTTACCTCTTTGTCATGGACTGAATGGGTGGAGTAATGTCTCAGATGTAGGACACAGTCTTAAAGGGACATGAGACCATAGCCTACCTACACACATCCAAAACCAACTTTTATTTATTTATTTTTTTGACACCGACTATATTGACATGGGCAAAATGACGTCAGTTATTGTCGTATTTCGGTATCGGAAAATTTTGCTTTATTGCTCAGCCCTAGTTGAAGCTGCATGTATTAGTCAAGTATAAAGGTCATCCTTTCTCAGTGAACCGAAAACACCCAGAGGGGGTGGTCTTGGCTTGGTTTCCATCAAACTTTTAGGTGGTTCATTTGTAGTGAGAGTGCAGTTAACTCATCACACTCCAGCAGCAGGTGAAATGGTGCAGTAGTTGCTGTTGTTAGCAGGAATGATAGTAGAAGTAGTGCTGGTGAAATTTTATTTTTTATTTTTTGGACACTGATGGTTTTTGACATGGGCAAAATGACATTGGTTATTTTTGTAAATTTCGGTTTCAGTAAATTTTCGGTTTCTCGCCCAGACCTAGTGTGTATGTAACTTTGAAACTTTGATAAGCATTCTGGTACCTCTAACCAACATGCAATAGTAAGCACGGCCCACCCTTCTCTGCCTCTGATTGGCTAAAAACATGGCTCTGGCTGGCTTCATTTGATTCATTTGATGGTGTGATTTAACTAGCCAGAGAACAGCTCAAGATTCAAACCTGCAAATTTGAGCTTTTTTTTTTTTAGTCAGAGCGTGTTTGTTTGTTAATTAATGTGCAATGACCCTTGTATATTAATAAAAAAGTCACACAATTTTGTTGTGGACCTCAAAGGCTTCCATAATGAGTTTGTCAATCTGTGCCAAACAATCCTGTGCTTCAGCTGTTTTTCAGAAAGAGATCAAATTTACACTCAGGTTTTTGGCCTTTAAGGCTGACTGGCACGGCAACAAAGGAGGATTTGAATTGATAAGAAATTTAATTTGATGATGTAAAAAAATTCATCATACTATGAACCTCTATTCAGCCTCCTCAGACAGACTCATCTATTATGCAGAGATCCATAAGTCTGAGGAGAGAGAGAGAGAGAGAGAGAGAGAGGGAGAGAGCGGGAGGAATTAAATGAGTTAGATGTGGACGGAGATATTTTGTGAAATCTGTGGTAATTAGATGGATTAATGAATCAGAGACAATCCCTGAAATGGAGATTAATTCCTATGACGTGGCCATCATGTTCTGTATTTATCAATGTCAAGCAAGTATTTTATTAATAAGCCATAGATCTGGACTTGTCCCTGTAGGTAATAAAGGCCTAATACGCCTAAATCACACAGCAACAGATAATCTGGTGGAAGAGGTGATGGGATTTGATGGAGAGACAGACACAGAGCAAGAGAAGGAGAGAGAAGCAGTCATTGGTCTTTGGCAGGATTTAATTGGAATTATCTTTATCCTCTATGCAATTACATCTTCACACATATGAGTAATGACGCTAGCATGCTAATTTAGCTGTGTGTGTGAAAGTCAGGTTTTTGTATTGTATTTCTCCTTGACAGTAAAATCAGATCGACTGCAAGAGAAGTAAGACTAGAATGGGGAAATCTTGAACTAAATCTAAAACAATGGGATCATCTTGTACTTGGAGTAAAGAAATTAACTGCCGATGTTTGTTAAAACAGTGGATGTCGTCACTTAACTGCAAACCAAGTGCGCCCCTCACGACTGAGGCCAGCCGCCCCCCTATCACCTCAACACCAGAGGGATGAAAGATAAAGAGACACCATGACAGGAGCAAAGGTAGAAAGATTTATCCAACAACTGGCGCAGTAATGAGGCCTTTTCAGAAAAACCATCCTGAATGCAGCAGGGACATTGAACAAGTGTCAAACAGCTGAAAAAAATGGGAACCAGACAAAGCCCGTTTACACACGGCTATTAGCAGGGGACTAAAGCTGAAGTATAAATGACCTACATCTGTACAGGAACAGTCAAGTCTGTATTTTACTCTAATTGAATGATATAATCCCTCCAGATAGTCCTCAGAGCTGTGCCTCACATTACTTTCCTGATGTTACTTTTAATAGGCTACCACTTGTCATCCATCTCATCATCTCTAAAGATTTGGCTCTTCTGATGGTTTAAAGTTGCTTTTTTTTTTCCCCTATGAATCTGTCTCCGCACTGAGCCGCCTACATTTGCACCCAAAATACTGTCAAAACTTTTACTTATAATTGCCAACACAAATTTAATGATTCTCAGCTGGTAGAGAAGTACACGGAGATGAACTCTAAAATAAAAAAAATAATCATAATTAAACTTAGAAGTCAAGCAGACGTCACGGAAATGCCGCTTTGCCCAGCGTGAGTATTTTTACACATCCATGTTAGGTGACAGAAAGAGTCAGCAGAGGAAGATTTTTTCTTCTCCAAGCTTGCAGGTGATTTTCACGATTCATGAGAAGTGCTTGAAGAGCCCGGCTCATTCTGATCAAATAAAAGTAGGACTCAGGAGTGTGGTGACTCGGTGCCTGTACTGCAGCTGTGAACTATCTGTGGCAGGTGTGGAACTTTAATACCAGTGAAACATTTGCTTTTGACAGATTCTGATTTAGGGTTAGTCAAAGTTACACATTGTTGCACATCTTCCTTTTCCTAGTACCTGGGTAAACAAATGCTCTATTTGCATGGTGGGAAGCTAGCTACAAAACATTAACATTTACCAGTTGATCTGGAGTGGCAGTAACTGGCTTCATTGATATTCCTTCCGATTCGGAAAGTTGGACAATCCTTACCAACCCCAACTTGACGACAACATCATAATCCAAGATGGCATCAGTGCATCAACAGTAGTGAGTTCACAGTAAAAGCTCTCATAATGTATGATTTATTAGCACTTCTGTGTTGTTTTTGTGAAATTAAGTAAGTGGTATATGTTGTACTGCCCAACGTCTAACTGTGAACACGGGGCTATGGTGTTTGTAAGAGTAAAATACGGTGTTATGAGTTGTTTACAACTGGTAAACAACTAACAGCTGACAATGGCTAACAATAGGCGCCCCTAACAGTAGGCATCACTAACAGGAGGTGTCACTAACAGGAGGTGTCACTAACAGGAGGCGTCACTAACAATAGGCGTCTATCTTGGTTTTCTGACTTGTTTACTGCCGTCAACTTGGGTGTAATGTCATTACCAGCTCCAACATCCATCTGGAACAGAGCATAAATTCCCATGGGTGGGACCGCCTGGGCAAAACGCTGAGAACGAAATCAACTAGCTTCTAAATCAACTAGATTCAACTAGCTTCACCAATGCTCAGAGGGAAAGAGAAGGTGATCAAGTCTGTTGCCATTTTTATATTTGTACGCTTACAATCAGTTTGAGTTGAAATTGCCTTGTAGCTTTCACCAGCACTACTTCTACTATCATTCCTGCTAACAACAGTAACTACTGCACCATTTTACCAGCGACTGGAGTGTGATGAGTTCACTGCACTCTCGCTACAAATGAACCACCTAAAAGTATGATGGAAACCAAGCCAAGACCACCCCTTCTTGGTGTTTTTGGCTCACTTTCCTGCTTTAGAAAAGACGACTTTTAAACTGGACTAGTATGTGCAGCTTCAACCAGCTAACGTACATTTTTGTCTTTGCTGCTGTTGTATAACTTTGCTCCAGTTTACTTTAAACAAATATCTAAAAAATGGTCCTCCTGACGTGTGTTAAGCACACTCGCCACTCAAAGATAACTTTCACCCTGATTGATGGGGGTTATTATGGTTCTATTTCCTCAGGGTTTCCCACATTTCCCATGGTGCCTAAGACCTGCAAATCTCAATGGTTGACCTGTGTCTTCAGGGAATACTTGTAGAGACGGTAATATGTGCAGACACACACACTCACAGCATGTGCACATACACACATTGGTAGCATTTCACCTCGTTTTTTCAATCTAACCACACAATCCATTAGGACTAACGTTTTCAACTTCCCGGCACTCTAAGCTTTTCCAGAAAACCATTACTGTTTTTCAGGCAAAAATACAAATAACAAAAATCAAAATGTCACAGCGTGTCCTTGAAACCACTCTGTGTTTTGCTCCTCTCAGCTGTCGGCCTCTCCATCAGTGCTAATTACTGTAAATTAGTTTGAACTGGGGAAGCTGAAGGCTGCCTGATGTTGCAGATTTAGAGTCAATAGGCATGTAATGGCACTCTGTCTTTGGCCATCATTAATCAAGGTTATGTATGGAGCTGCAGGATGGAGGAGTGGAAGAACACATGTCAATTACCAGCTAACAAAGGAGATGAGATTTAGAAACAATGCTAATCTCCACTGTAGAAACACTACAGCCATTATAGCCTCTTAATCCCGTCTTGTGTTTATTTCATTATTACTGTCTGTTGCTTTTTCCTTGAGGCTTCAGCACCTTCAAATTTCCTTAGTGGGAAAAGCAACAGTAGAACCTTTCACTGATATGAACAGTGAGCGGGGCTGACAGCAAAAGCAGCATTACTCATTTCATCTAGACAGGTCTCTTTTAGAGTTTTATAAAAACCCTCCTCCTAAACATGAACGTTTTATTGAAGGTCGATTTGATCTGGAGGCGAAATGCAAAAAGCTTTTCATGGGTGATGGAGAGGGAGGCTGTACTGCAGAGTCCAACTCATTAGCGCAAGGTTGGTCCCACAACACCGGTGCCCTCTGAGAATTTTAAAAAACAACGTAATCACTGATGTAATTATTCATCTGCAGAGTCTGGAGGAGCGTGCACGTTCTCTCAGACCATTCGCTCAAACAAATGGGCGTTTTGACAGCAAAGTAAAGTGCAGGAGTTTCTCATGCACTTACACCAGTGTTAATGTTTGGGTGAGACTCTCTTAACATGAACCAATTACATGCTTAAAGTGACCTTTCTACAGCGGTTGAAGCTTAGCTTGTTTCCAAGCCAGTTGCTCGACAAGGAGCTGTGCTGACTGTTATCCCCCGAGGGTAAAACTCTTAGTGTTGACAAGTACCTCAACCAACCCCACTTGAAATGAACCACTTTCCCTTCAATAACCAAGCAGCAACCACCAGGATTGAGAATTTAAACCAATGCAGAACAAGTCCGCAGTTTCCAATGTGTCAGTTTGAAAATGGCTGCAAAAGCCGAGGAAATCCCATTAGAGTTCATTTGAAACCCACCACCTTTACAGTTCAGTTCAATGAGCACATACTGTACCTCATTTCTGTACTCAGACTAACTACACTGGTGCAATAACTCATCAGCTTTGATCCCACTGAGGCAGAGAATTATGTATTATCAGGCATGGTTTGAGGTTTGACTGGCAAATTGGCATCTTCTATTAAGAGGTGGTAAGACTGTTGCTGTGTTCGTGTTGTACTTAGAAGTCGGGATTTCCGAGCTCCAAGTCAGAAATTCATCTGGAACACCCCCTTGAAGTCAGATTTCCAACTTGGAGAGTCAGACGATCCTCACCAACCCCAACTTGACGACAACGTCATATTTCAAGATGGCAGCGCAGTGCATCAACAGTGAAGAGTAACAGTGAAAGCTCTCGTAATGTATTATTTATTAGCACTTCTATTTTGTTTTTGTGAAATTAAATAAGTGGTATATGTTTTACTGGCCAATGTCTATCTGTGAACACAGTGCTATGGTGTTTTTAAGAGTAAAATACTGTGTTATGCGTTGTTTACAACTGGTAAAGCTTTCAAGAACTGACAACAGTTAACAACGGCTTACTGTAGGTGTCAATCTTGGTTTTCCGACTTATTAACTGGAACGCCACCAACTCGGGTGTAACAACATTCCCAGCATGTGGCCTCAGCTCCATCTCAATTTACCAGCTGTTGTTTCTTTCTTGACGGTAAGATTGCTATTGTTTATTTATTGATACATTTGAGTATTGATAACCCTTTTTATGGTTCTAAAATAACTCATAATTACTCACAAGAGTTCATCATTGGGGGGTAGCTTGGCACTCCACCGGTTAAGATCCAGAAACTTCAACATCCCTGCTTCCTGTTAATGATGTTTAGTATCAGACATAAATAAGTGGTTAAATGTAGATTCACTGGCGATATCTAGTGTAATTATCTCCTGGACAATCAGGCGTCTAATGTGTCGGAAAGTGCTTTAATCATAATTGAAACCTAGAGCTCGGCAATTAATCAAGTTTCTGTCGCAATCATGATTATAGCTCCCAGAGATTATAAAAATATGATAATCAAGATTGAACGATTACTCAGCAGCCTGCCGTGCTGCGATTGTTTCGTCTTCGAAGGTGGATGAAGTTCACTCTCCCTTTCTGTCCACAGAGCAGAGTCAGGGCTCCACCTCTCCCCTCAAATGGCTCTCCTCTTTACTTCATCATTATTGGCTCAGATCAATAAGTACCAAGTTCATGATGAAGCTGCGGATGCTGCTAAAGTTAGTCGTGGGCAGCCATTTCTTCAACATAGAGAGAGGAGAGCAGGGAAAGGTACAGGAGGTGGCAGGTGTGTGTTCCTATAAGAGCCTGAAAGCCGAGGGATTGAGTGAATAAAACATGACGAGAGAGGTCATGGCCATCATGAGAGCGCAGATTGTCAAGATTAACAGTGACATTGATCCATATGATGATAAAAGATAATCCTGTAAGTCTTACCACTGATATGTTGAATCAGAATGTGATAAAATGTGAAAAGATGAGCTCAGATTCTTAATTTTTTTATTACAGCACTGAGATTCATTTGTCTGTTTACAGATCTTTGTTGTATGATATCTGGAAGAGACACCTGAGTTTAAAAAGAACTAAAATCATGACACAGTTATTGAGGTTTCAGCCGAGAAATCCAGTATATAATGTTGACTAAAATGTATTATGAACTGTTATAATTACCACGCACAAGCTGGATTAATGTGATTTATGCACTGCATATGCAGCTGCAGGTTCAAACTGGACAGGAGACATTTTGCCCTGACACAAAGTTACATTTTAATCTCCTTTAAGTCGGGCCCTCTAATTTACATTGTCCATTACCATGCCGCTAACGACTCTGACCTTCTCCTCGGTTAAAAACTAGCCAGCCAGCAGAAGAGGAAAAGGAGGGGGGGATGAAAAGATGATGTGATTGGGGGATGAAACCTCTAGAAGAAAGGCAGCGAGAGAGAGAAGGACAGGATGACAAAGAGAAGACAGAGACAAGATTTTTAGGGCCCTGGCATTCTCTGAAGTCATAAATCTGGGGTTTATGGTGAAATGATGGCAGATAATGTAAGTAAAGGTCAGCGCGGCATGTCAGCCAACAATAGATCACAGGAACTGATGGTTGTGGTCACACGCTGCTGAAGTTGAATCCTGTTTCATACAGCCGCTTCTTTTCTCTACTCAGGATTTGGCTCATTTTTGTCTCTATCTGCTACTTAACTCGTGTTTTGCGATACAGAAACAGCCACCTGTGAAGTGTGCCTCTCTGCCCCTGATGTGATAAATTGTTATTGATAACCACTTGACAGAATGTGTCAACATTGTGTTTCACAGTCAATATCACCAGCGTGGGAGCTGGGGCATGAAAATCTCATAAATTTGTTTTTCAATTGGCTGTTTACTCCTGTAAAGAATTGTGATGATTGCGTGATAATTTAGGAATTATAGACCTTGGCCTGATTTGTTTGTGTTTCATCTGTAAAGCCAGACAATGTTAATTAACAATTTTGTGCTGTAACCAAAATATTGATTGTCAATCTTTTGCGTGTCTTTAGAAATATTAATCCTTATACGAGTAATCCAAACAAATATAATTGACCTCAACAGCTCTCATATTTGTGTTATAACAACATTTCTTATGTTTAATTCTTAAAGAGTTCTCCCATGCAAATCAGGCCAGTACCAAACTTTTCTCTCACTGGCCCCAAGTACAATAATATCCTCCCACACGTCTTATGCCCACGAAGTATTCTGATTTCCATACAAACACAGGGCACTTAGGCTCTAATAAAAGCTTCCACACTCAGTGAAAAAAACTAGTGTGACCATATTCAAAATCCTTAAAAAGAGGACACTACTATGTGGGACGGAGCCACAGAGTCGCATGTAGTTAATTTTGAGAGTTTTTCGGGTCAGGTCAAGTGTTCTGTGCACGCTTCTAACTCCAGGCGACACAAACTCAAAACTTCCATTCAAAACCTCTGACATTTAAAGGATTTTACTAACTCTTCCGGACAAGGCCGGACAGACCTCAAAAAAGAGGACATGTCCAGGTAAAAGAGGATGTACTGTCACCTTAAAAAAAACATCCTTTATGCCCAACAATGACATTTCTGCTCCATATGGATCCCAGTGTCTCCAAACACTCAATATCAAGCAAAGCTAGATCGGGATATGTGGGCAGCAAGCACCTTATCACCATTATCCATGGCCCTTAGAAATGAAGTACTGAAAACTGCAGTTCCACAAGTGTCCACTTGAGGCTTGCTGCAGAGGCACCAGTAACCACATACACACTAAGCCAAAAAAGCTCATTTTTACCTTTACTGTCTGATTCAAGAAACGGTTTCAGTCTGAAGAGCTCGAGGCTTCCAAAACACCCACTTTACAGAGAAAAAAGCTTGTTAGGGCCCCTCAAGGTTAGGCTGTACGCTCTGTCTACCCCTCGAAAAGGTAGAAATTTGGTCATTTTCATTTTCTGACTCACAATGTTCTCTTTGCAGGAAAGATGTCAGAAGTAGCTTCCTTCTCACTTTACAGGAACTCTCATTAGACTACCTCTTGGAATAGACTGTTGAACAACAAGCTACCCCGACACAAATCTAAATAAAAATAACCACAAAAGCCACCTCTGCCGAACTTGTATTCCACTGTAAAACTCTAAAGTATTACATTGTGCAAAATAGTAATGATCCGTTTATGAAATGATGAAATGAATCCTCACTTCTTAACCTCGGTATACGTCAGCATTAGCAGAGTTAAATGAGGACTTTATCCCCCAACCACAATCCACGTGATCCACTATGACCTGAGCAAAGTGCTGGAGTGTAAAACTTCTCTCATTAGCCATTCACATTTGCAGGCCTGTCTTATCATGTAGAACCAGACAAGCTGCTTGTTGACTCAACCTTGCCTTCCTCAGAGGCAACATTTTGAAGGGAAAAAAATTATCATTTTGATGGGAATGATGCCTCGCTATGCTGCCGAAGCCACTCTGTCGTCTCCAGCTGATAAAAACTCTAAAACAGTCAGACGCCACCTCTCCTGAGATCCAATTGGGATGCAGTGATAAAAAAAACAACATAAAAAGGGCTTTAGTTATGGTTCAAATTTTTATTTTTTATTGAAAAACAGCAATTCAGAGATGCTGATAGAAATTATGGATTTGACTTTTAAACTTCTACATCCTTGTTAGTGGGAATTATTGGTCCTTTCAAGAAACTTTTTCCATCTCTGCTCAAAACTTACGGTCTTAACATTAACAATGAAAGGGTAACCATGTGGCTTCGTATTTTGGCTGTTTGCCACTGGATAATTAATATCTACTTTCAAGCTCCAGCAATTAATGACTTGAAAAGAGAGTGGCCAAAAATCATCAGAAAAGCACGAAGCCCATGGACTGCTGTGTTGCACCAGAACCTAAAGTAATGAACATTAACTCATCTTTCTTACGTTATTTTCCCATTTTTGATTTCTATTTTTACACAAACAGCTGATCTGGATCACTTTAAACTGTATGTGGAGGAATCATGCTGTGTTCCAGTTGTACTTGGAAGTCGGAATTTCCAAGCTCTGAGGCGGAAATTCATCTAGAACACCCCCCTGAAGTCGGATTTCCAACTCCAAAAGTCGGACAATCCTCACCAACCCCGACATGACGACAACTTCATAATCCAAGATAGCAATGTAGTGCATCAACAGTGAAGAGTAAGGCAAGGTGTTTGTACGAGTAAAATACTGTGTTATGCGTCGTTTACAACTGATGTAGCCAACAACAACTAACAACCGCTGACAACGGCTAACAATAGCTGACAATTGTAAACAACAGCTAACAATGGGTAACTGTAGGCTTTCACCTTGGTTTTCCGACTTGTTTACTTGAACACCGTCAACTCATTTGTAACGTCCGACATCCGACTTCTTAGGTAACTGTTACGCAGTGACAATCCAGTGTGCAGTAAGGCTCAGGGCTGACACGGGTTAAAAAGTCTGTTTTAAAACTAACGACTGTCAGATCATGTTAAAAATTACCTTCTATGTCGCTAGAAACTTTGCTGCTCAGCTTTGCAGTGTCTCACATTAAGATGGCAGGACATAGTTGGGACCTACCCAGATATGCTGATCATATGTAGGCCTGTCGCGATAATCAATAAATCGCCTTATCGCTCGATAAATAAAAACGAGGTCGGTCATTTTGCCAGCCTCGATAATTGACGTGGGTTTGTTTTCCTCCTCTCTCACTACCAAACACGCTGGTTGAGAGAAGAGGTCTCACTCTGCGCATTGTTCTCGGCACCTGGGGGCGTTGGCTCTATAGCGGAATGAACGGAGTTAGTGAACCCTCCTGTCAGTCATTCAGTGTCTTTGTTACGAGGGGGCGCGCGCACAGCTACACGTAGGCGCGCACAGGCACACAGACACAGACTTTTGGATACAGTGCCGCAAGTGAGCGTCGTGAGTGAAAAGCAAGCAAACAGAATGAACACGACAGCTTTGGTGTCTAAACCGAACGCAACAGCCCAAGTGTGGGAATATTTCGGCTTTAAACCAGTTTTGTTTTCGTCAGCCACAAAACTCCACGTGTGTGTGCGTGCGCGCGCGTGTGTCTGTGTTGGAGGAGCACAGCAGGCTGATGAGAGCTGTCAGAGCGGACTGAAGCTGCTGCTATATGTTTAGCGTTTAACTGACTGAGTTTTGCAACTCTGTTCGTCATTTTCGTCTCGTCCCATCAACGTAAACGCACTTTCGTCTCGTCACATTTTAGTCATCTCCGACTTATGTTTAGCTCGTCAACGTTACGTCTTCGTCGTGGGTAAAATTAAAGTTTATCACTTTTGACACGGTGTACTCGCATTATTATGCCATTTAATATCATTATCTATAATTTAAAAAACGGTGTCAATAATATCGTTTATCGGCGATAATTTGTAGCACAATTATCGTCCAGCAAAATTTGTCATCGTGACAGGCCTAATCATATGTATTGTTTTTGAGTACTTTTTAAACATGATTGCTTCTACTTCTGTTCAGTAACAAAGAAAAGCAGCTTTGGATCCCCGTGACAATGCATTCATAAAGTATTATGTTTTGGTTCCAATGTCCTAAAATCAATCCGACTGGTCTGACTCAAAGATCTGATTGCTATTGGCTTTCATATTAAAAGTTGGTTAATAAAAGTTTTCAGAAGTGCAATAAGCATTCAGTAAACTGAGATAATGTTCCCTAATATTCGCTAAGGTTGTGCTGACATTTCAGAAATTCCTGGAAAACAAATTGGGCATCATCTCCTCTAATAATGGGTACTCAGAATGTTATTGATCAGACCCAAACAAGAGACACTGTATTGATTTTTCAACCACTGATGGTAAGAGCCAACATTGTTATTTTCTTGTGCTGCCACCAATACGAACAGTCCAGATTATCTCCTTTAGCTTCTCCCTCATTTTCTGCTTTCTCTCTTATTCTCTCCATTCTTTTTTTACTCCTTTTCTCATCCTCTCCTCATTGTTTCACTCTGAAAGTCTCATCCGTCATCAAGCCTTTGGACTGGGGTTGAACAAGCTCATATCTCAGTGAGTTTCTCTCTTACCCTCTGGGTTTCCCTCAGCCTCGCTTGTCTTATTGTGCTGCTCTGGTTACTTCTGCTCTATATGTGCCGTGTGTGTCTCTGTGTGCACGTGTGTGTACTTGGAGAGTAGCTGCAAGCCTGTGTGTGTCATGTGACAGGTTTCTGTACCTGAAATAAAGTATGGAGTGTGTGTGTGTGTGTGTGTGTGTGTGTGTGTGTGTGTGTGTGTGTGTGTGTGTGTGTGTGTGAGGGTGGGTGGGTGGATGATGAAGAAGGTGCTGTAGCTCTGCCACTGTGTTATTCTTTATAAATGCATGCTAATGCAAAGGACATCTGCGCCGGCATTCATTATCGTGTGAGTGGGATACTGTGTACTGAGACCAGCTGTGTGCGTCTTTTTGTCATGCATGCATTTGTGCGTGTTCGTGTGAATCAGTGGGAATATGTGTGTATCTGGCACCAGCCTTTGTGTTGGAATCTCCCAGAGAGTATCTTCCCTCAGGTGTCACAGTATCATGATAAATGGGCTCAGCACCACTGAGACAACCATAATACCCCACAGCAATATATTTCCATAACTCCTCGCTGCTTTGGAGAAATATATGCCATTTCTTGATAACACTGGGGCACCATTAGAACACATTATGGGATAGACCTTTGGCTGCAGAGGCTTATAAAGATGCCTGACTAAGTTTAGGGTTGGTTTTGGATATACATTAAAAAACTGCTGCTTTAGGGGAAGTTTTTAAAGAGAGTTTATACTGAACACCTGACATTAGCGAATTCAGACAAACTTTTGGATTGTAAATTCTTCAAATCCATCTCTTTATCCAGAGGCTGATTTTCCCTTTGTCAGAATCAGACATGTTTAATGCTGGTTAGGGATGCAAAGCAACTCATTTCCCAGACAGAGCTGAAATTTCCCAACAGCACTTTAAATTCTAACGCACCAACTGGTCAAAAGAAAAAAAAAAAACAGTCAACACTGAGAACTGGTTATGCATTATCGTATTGAAGTGGTGATATACTGGTTTATCCTGCCACACCTTACATACAACCTCATAGACATTTTCCTGTCATGCTGCAGGATGGCGTCTGTCATCTGTACTCAGTTAGACTTGGTTGGTATAGCTCTATAACATAATGGCAGCAGCCTTTAAGCACCACTTAATCGCACTATAATCGACTGAAATCTGGTGCTGAGATGCAAGAGTAACAATCATTTAATCCTGATACTGATGTGAAGCTCTTTAACTGATCTGCTAAGTTCACTCTGCCCTGATGAGCAAACTTGATTGCTAAAGCACTTTGCCAGTTCCAACCACTTAGGATACTTATTCTAGTTAAAGCTGATATGAGGAACTTGTGCCAATTATAGCACCCCCTGTAAACAAAGGTATATTGCAGAGGTTAAATAATTGTCTATAGAGCAGTTACAGGATACACGGCTCTAAATGAAATTAAGACACCGAGTATATGTTAGTGTTGTGTAGTTCAAAAGAACTGAATCTTTTAAGTAAACGTACTGAGCCGAAACACATCCTCGAGTGATTCGTTCATTTCTCATTTCAGTTGAGCTGAAGTGAGAAACAGTATTGCCAGGCCAGCAGCCGGTGAAAGAGGGTCCACATGCACCGACGTCTGAATCACTTAGTGAATGAATCACGCATTGAACTACACTCTCTGGAATCATTTTTGTCGGACAAAACTACCTTTTTTTTTTACTGCTAAATTGCCACCACAACAACTTTCACACAATAGGACAAAGCATGTAACAAGTAGTGCATTTAACTTAAATTGAAAGAGTCTGACCAAATATTTTACTACACCTGAAATCTTTCTGTTCAGGCTCTTCCAGCTGATAGAGGAACTGAGACTCCCAGCAGGAAAACCTTGAGCTGAGAGGAGACGTGGAAGTCATATATTTACTACAAACACCTTTTTTTGTTGTTTGTTCAAATATATGAATTTATTTTATTACCAATGTGTTATATATTTGTATTTTCTGCTTTCTCTTTTATTTTGAAAACATAACATCAGCTGTCATGACTAATACAGTTTGTGTAACTGAATGAAAATTTTCTTTAGCATGCTGTTAGGCATTAGAGATTACTTATAGGAATTGCTGTGACAGTCCTGTCTGCTATTGTCAGCATTAGTACCTGTTGGCTTCACATACACAACGCTGCACCTTTACAAAATGCTGTTGCTGGATTTTCTGATATCTGTTTAAAGCCAAGAGAAGGCAACATAAAAAACAGTCGTACAGCAACAGCAAAATGCCGGATCTTACACTTCAAGGACAGTCAGTATTCCAAACCTCGTGGGACACTTGAGACAGTGTCTCCTTGAGCTGCTATTTATTTGATTTGCATAAAACCATGTTTTGTCGGAACAAATCACCCGACTCTTCAATGTTGGCGGCTAGTTCTTCAGACTTGGAAGTCACATTGTGTACATTTTTGTCCTATATTTTCATGTAGTACAGATATTACCAGAAGAAATCTTTGCTTATTTACTTTTGTACTTAAAGTGATTTAGTCCTTCACGGCAACCTTCAAAACAAAAACAAGTTGTCCGTCAGATCCGGTTTTTCTTTGTGTCAGCATCTTGATAACACACAGCATTCACACACAGTCTCCTTGAATATCATTTGCATGTGATTTACGTTGAGTAACTGTTCTCTGTCCTTCTCTCTGTTGGTCTTTTGCAGTGGTGGTCATTCATTAAGATGTATACCAACAAGTTTCACACTTCCTAATTTTTTTTTTAGCTTTTAGTCTGGTTTATCTTGTGAAGCTCCTCCCAAGAGACAACATTCAAATACTCAAGACCTAATACATTTAAAATCTAATATAAAGTAAATTCCAGGTGCCTGGAAGAGCCCACAAAACAGAGCTTACATCTTTACATTAGTGACCCGCTTGCCTGTCAGTAGCAAAGACGTGAAACTCTCCAGGATACTCATCCCACAAATAGTGATCAATGTTTATTCCAATAAAAGTTGAAACTGTTCTTTTTCTGCATTAGCTCTCAAAGAAATCAATAGAGAATAGGCGGTCCTGCTTCCATTCATCCATAAC